GGCATGTGTCTATGCATATGTATCTGGAAGCTGGAGACTGACATCATGAATCTTCCTCAATTGCTCTCTATTCTTTGAGGCACGGTCTCTCAGTTGGACCTGAAGCTCACCAATAATGTTAGTTAATCTAGCCGGATTACTCCAGGACTTCCTTGTCTCCACTTCTAGTTACCTGAATTAAAGGCAGGATATCATGACCATCTGGTAGTTGTGTACACTAGGGATTTGAACTCAGGTCTCTGCACTTGTGTGGCCAGAATTTTAATCACTGATCCATCTCTCAACCCTGCAAAAAGTTTAGTAAAGACTGTCATACAGACGCTCTTGGTCATACCTCCTGATTCCTAAATTTATTTCTATTTTTTATTTGATGAAAAGCATGTTCAGAGCAATAAATTATAGCAGTGAGAGGAACATTCTTGATTTTCTTCTGGCCTAAGTGAAAATGTGTCCCTTGAAGTTGTGAAGTATAGAATTTTCACTGTTGTTAATAACTAGCCTGTCAACGAAGTTTTCATTTCCTCTGTACATTGATTTACATAACAGTTTTCTTTTAAATTTGTAAGTGGTTAGGTTTATTTTTAGTTAACTATTATGATTAAATTTCTAATGTTGTTACCTGTGTTCAGGTTGTATGCATCATGTTTGGAACTTTTCCGCTTTTTGGGAACCATTGAGACTTTATTTATGGACCAGAATATGATTTGTTTGCCTAACAGTTGTGTTTAAAATTTTACATCCTATGCTCATAGGATTAAAAAAGATTCAAATCTATTTAGTTCATTCCATTAATATTAACACCCAACTTCTCCATATGTCTCTATTTATTAATTCTGTTTGTTTATTTGTTGTTTGTTTACATCTTTGATAGAGGGCCTCATGTAACTCAGGCTAGCCACAAACATTATATAGCCAATTGCCAAACTGGATTTAACTCCCGATGTTCCTGCTCAGTCTTCCAAGTACTAGGATTGCAGACTGAATCATCATGGCAGACTATTCATTATATCTTGAACTAATTTCCATTAAGGTCAAAGTCTTGTACATACATTACTAAGAATCCTTTGTGTGTGCATGTACATGACATGTGAGCAATAATCTAAACACATAAATGTCTATGTGGAGTCATGGCTTCTTCTGGCTTTTCATACCTTTCATGTTTGTTTGAAAACTAAAATCCTTGATTTTGTCCTTTTTTGTCATTATTGCTGCTTGAATCCTCTCTTTTTTTTACTTTTATGAACTTTAATATTTAGTTTAAAATCTGATGCTTTATTTTTCTTCTTTTAGTGATTTAGTAGTTATTCATCCAACACCCCTTTGCATGTCCATATCTTTTAAAGCAATGTCTAGCGTGAGATGTATCATAATTCATCTTCTGCTTTATCTGTAACCAAAACACTTTCCTTCCTTCCCTGGCACTCTCCCCAGTTTTTGTTGATATTCTGAGTTTTAGATTTAGATTATCATATTTAAACATTTTAAATATACATCTCATTTCAAATAAAGGACTTTCACATAGGTAATATTCTTCTTGGAATTCATTATACTTTACTATTCCATGGTTTAGCGCTTCGTTAGCTTATGGCTCTGTAACCAGGACCCATGATTTCTGAGGGTTCAGTTCATGGCCTCTTGGTTCCATGCTCTTTGGAACAGTGGGGTGAGGGTCGGAAGATGTGGCAGAAAAGTGTCTCAACTCTTGGCAACTGAAAACAGAGGGATCAGAAGGAGCAGAGACAAGAGACCCCTAACAACCTGCCTTCAGTGACCTTCCTTCATCTAGACCTCACTGTCTAGAAGTTCTAGAACCTTTTCAAACAGTTCCTAACTCCCCCAACAATTCATAAGCCTTCATGGGGATACTTCACATCTAACCCATACGACCAAGAAACAATCTGATAAACTGGCCATATCATTGTCTTCCCCTTATGTTGTAAGAACTGCCCATCCCTGTAACACATTGTTCTCTGCCTGCCAGCCAGCTCCTAAATAACAACATGGAGATTTATTATTAATTATGAAAGCCTGGACTTAGTTTAGGCTAGTTTTTAACTAGCTCTTATAACTTAAAATAACCCATTTCTTTAATATATGTTCTGTCACACACCACCCATCTTGCTTCCTCAGTGTCTTCTGGCATCCCCTGTGCTCCTAGATTCATCTCCTACTTCCTCTCTCTGTCTCTCTCTCTGTCTCTCTGTCTCTCTCTCTGTCTCTCTGTCTCTCTCTCTGTCTCTCTCTGTCTCTCTCTGTCTCTCTCTCTCTCTCTCTCTCTCTCTCTCTCTCTCTCTCTCTCTCTCTCCCTGGAAGTGCTGCCTATATCTCCTGCCTAGCTATTGGCCGATCAGCTCTTTATGAAACCAATCACAGCAATATATATTCACATAGTGCACAAATATTCCATAACACATCCCATTATCATTTGTTGTTCTACAGAATTCCACTTTATCTGATGTGTGATCACATGGCACTCAGTGTAGAGTCTGTGCACTTCAGTGGAATTTATCTGTAGTCCCCTATCACTCCCAAAGACTTTTGTAAGATGCAACCATGGTCCTCAACTAAGAAATATCCATTACAGGAGTGTGTGTGTGTGTGTGTGTGTGTGTGTGTGTGTGTGCTTCATCCTGTTATATTTCACAGATACTGCACTTTTGTGGAAACTAATCCATTGACCATTTTCTAAAACTTTGTGTGATTGTGATCATTTTCAGAAATATAGAATTTTAAACTAAAAGTTATATATGGTATATCTTTTATAAACAATGCTACATGGCATTTAATTATACTATGATGCATATGCAAATTTCATAGGCATAAAAAAGCCCAAAATGCACATGTCTTGCCTTATTGTGACATTTTCTTTATTACAATGGCCTGGAACTAAACTTACAATATATCTGGGATATACTTACATAATTTTTAAGATTAAAAAAATTAATATTGTAATAATATCTCCACTTTCCTACATATTATCTGTACTTATTACAGAAGTCTAGATATAATTAACCAGAAAAAAAAAACAGCTTGTATCCTACTTTAACCTAGGTCAAGAGTTAATTTCTCAGGTGAAGGATATTACTACATCAGTGTTAAGCCCAGATTAATTTTAATCAAATGAAAGTATCAAGAGAACACATGCTTGATAATTTTAGCAAATATAGTTATTGTTGATTATACAACAACAACAGAAAAAAAACCGTGGTTTGTACTAACCTGTCAGGAACAAAAATCATGCATTTGTTCATCTATAAGAGAATGATCAAAGTCTCATTACTTCAAAATTCCCACTCCCACATCCTGGAAACGTGAAAAGCAGCCACCTGGCCACATTGCAGATAGAGGTTCAACTCTGAAAGGGCACATGATGTCTGCTGTGTTTCTGGCACTAAGAATGGGGTACATACAGAACAAAAGGCTTTGAGACGACAATCAAAATTTACAAGTAACTGTTGAGAGACAAAACACAGGTATTCAAGGTAATAGGAGGTCAGTATTCCCCTTGCATTTCTTAGTATTCTAGAAACTGTGAGCAGATTCATTCCTAAACTACACCTTTATTATTTATTTATTTATTTATTTATTTATTTATTTATTTATTTATTTATTTATTTATTTATTTATTTATTTATTTATTATCTTCTTAGTAAGCATGTCCAGGAAAGGAGAACTGCCTACCTCTTGGCCCTCCCTGAACCCAAGATCTCAGGCAGACAGACAGGGTCTCGCACAGACTATTCCAATCAAATGATGATATGCTAATGAGGGGAGTCTTCCTAGGAGCTGCTCTGCTACCTTTTGCATCACCTGGAGCCACCTGGCAGACGTACTCAAAAGTGCCTGCCAACCTGTTTCCTGGCAGACTTTTTCCTCCCCTGCATTCTACGTCTCCCACTTTCACTCACTTCCACTCAGAAATCATTTTCCCCGGGCTGCAAGCTAGAGCCACATCTGGTGTGCTGATTCTCCTGGTCTGGCATTCCACGGTGCTTAACTGTTTAGAAGTCCTCTGAACTCTGGCTCACACTGCTTTCTTCGCCTTGGTACCCACCCTACCCCCCCTCCTCCCTCCAGCCCCCATCACCTTGGCTGTGTCTCTAACACTGAGTCGGGGACAGGGATGCAAGCAGGACTTTAAAGAGAAACATAATGCTCCTTCCTGAGTTCCAGCACCACCCAGGAAGTGGGCACCTCACTTCAGACCTCACACAGCACACTGTTGTTCTCTTTCTCATAAGACTAGACTCTGGACTGCTTGGAGAAGGAGACCCTGGCTGATTCATTTTTGTTTCCTCTGCCTGAACAGGGCCACTAGTTCATAGCAAACGCCAATAAATATTTGCTCAACAAATGTAAACTGAGGCTGGCTCACCCCTCTGCTGCTCTGTGTTCTGATATTCTGATTAAGTGTCCCTTCCTGAAGACAACTACTTCTGCTGGTCTAAGAGTCTGGGATAGAAACTTGAGCAGATTCACACCCAGCTTCTGACTCTTTTATTTATTGCATTTTGGGAGATGGAAGGCCAGCTCAGAGCTCTTGCTTTAACTCAGTGAAATTGGCTTGCTGTTACCACTCTATATTCCAGTTAGTCTTTATAACTGGATAGGGAAATGTTTATTTTATTATTATCTGGCTACAAGGTACTATTCGACATAAGTCTCTTGAATAGGCAAGGGGACTTTAGACTAGACAATGGTAGTTATGGAAAATCTAGAGAAAAAACTGAGATATTTTGGTATACTAATAAATATATGTTTTGTTTCTATTGTCCAATTTGTAGCCATCATGGGACTCCAGTATTACATTGGAATGGCATTAAGAAACTACTCTACTGAAGCAAAAATATAATGAAATATGCTACCTACCAGGAATAAATTATTTTAGTTTATGAAAATTTACAAAAATATTTTGACTGATGTTTGTTTTATGGAATAGGTTCATAGCCCTACTTCAAGTGTTAGAGACAATAACTATTTTCCATATCTTTTCTTGTTAGGCTGTGAAGTGGAGATTCTTGGTGTCAGACCAACTTACTGCCTAGAATATAAAACCGTCCCAACAGATATCAATTTTGCCGATGCAATCAGTGGTGCTCTTGACTCATTAAAGTAAGTGTCCCAGATCTTCAGCCATAACGGTGTTCTTCCTTGTTTTTCTTTTAACAAACAGATTGTGTGTGTGTGTGTGTGTGTGTGTGTGTGTGTGTGTGTGTGTGTGTGTGCATGCACACACACAGTGGATGTAGGTGTTTGCAGAGAAGAGTTAGGTCCTGTGTAACTGGAGTTACAGGCAGTTGTGAGTCCCCCGACATGGGCACTGGGAACCAAACTCTGGTCCTCCGAAAGAGCAGCAAGCACTCTTGACCACTGGGCAATCTCTCCATTTCCTCTGCCTTCTTGGATGAACAGCAAGTCCTACAATGGTCTGGGAGAGCTGGACCTAGGTGTAATACTATCTCAGCGAGTTGTATGTAGTGATTCTTAGGTGAGACCAGTGGATTGTAACTGTGAGCAGCGGCACTGTTTGCAAATGGTGAATGGGATGCTAGCAATCCCCAGGACTCGAGGACCTTCTTCTTCTGTTGTTAGACTCTCGAGAAACCACATAAGTTCCAGAATTTTCATACTGATGATTTACTGAGCAGGTATATTTCAAAGACATCAGGGAGTATTTGCGTTAAGGAAGGATCTGTGACCAGATGCGTTTGGGGAAATGGCCTTTTCAACACTCTTGTTTGAGATGTACAAAGCACGTTGCGTATTAGAACAAGGAATGGTTTTGGTTTTGCTTAGTTGTTTCTGTTTGTTTGTTTGTTTTTCCCTTGCACATGAACAATGACACAGAGTGTGAAACATGCAAGATTTAGTTCCCCTCCCCTAAATAATACATAGGTCTGTCAGGGAACTGATTACCAAGTCAAAGATAAAGCCTCAATTCAACTGGAAGCAGTAAGGTCACCAAGATGGGGGGCCAGCTGGGAGTATGCTTTAGAAATCAGGAGCGAGGAGGTGTTGGGGGCTCCCATTTCTAGACCTGGACTTGAGGTTTTTTGAGGTAATTTTGGCTGCTGAATGGGTTTTCTAGGGGGAGTCAGAGCAGAAGACACAGTTAGAATCAGAGTTTATAGATTGGGGCAGGACCTTCATCATTCCAAAAGATCACGGTTTCCAGCCAGGAAGTGAATGGTCATCCTTCCTAAATCCAGTTCATGAATCACCGGCACCAAACAGTGATGCCTGGCTATGACTGAGACTGTCTTTCACACAGATGACCAACTATGTATTACATTCTAAGCTGTCTCAGGTACAGAGATGAGCAACTGGGTGAGGTTACCTCCTAGTAACTCAAGTATCTACTTAGTAGTGGAATCTTCCTCATGGTGTAAGATTACCTCAGTACAGAGGTGACTGATCATGGATGCCACACTTTCACTTCCTTTTCTGCCCCAACCAACCTTCAGAGTAAATGGTTGCCACTCCCACAGGATTATCAAAGGAGAAAACAGGACCCCATCCCATGCTGATGTTCTGACCATTCTCCCTGTGGGAAATTGATAAAGAAGGGTCTTTAGGTCACAAAATGCTTTAGCATGATTGACATGCTAAAGAGAAAACGGCTTCAAAATATTAACCATCAAGAAGAAACAAACTTATTCGTGTCATTTGATCCTGGTGGCATTTAGGGGGGTAGAGTTCACATGAGCAAATGTTCTTTGTACAGTTTATATATTGTGTGTGTCGTGTGTGTTAGATGATGCTGCCTGCTACTTCATCTGCCTTTTTTTATTTCTTGCCCACAAGAGCTAGAGAGCCATGTGCATGCAGAGCTGGCATATTGTGTTGCTGTCCGGTTAATGCAAAGCAGACTGCCACAACACACAGGGCAGAGGAACAGTGCCGGAACTTGAGAATTCCTCTATGTCTCCTCAGGCTTACTTCCAATGTATTCCAGACCCAAGTGCTAACCATCCCTCTATCCTCCTGCCATGGGAGATAGGAGAGTTTGGGTTGTAATTGTCACATAAATACCTCCAAGTAGTCGGACAGTCTGCTTATCAGTGTGTTTGCGTATCTCCCATATTTATCTCGTGTTTGGAACTGAATGGACTGGACTCTCTTTGTACCCAACCCAGAGGCCACAGCAAAATAGCAAGGCGTACTATGAGAGCTCCAGGCTAGTGGTCATTAATTTAAGCAGACATTCTTATTTTCACAACACCAGAATGCTGGAGCAATGAAAATTGGGTTCTGTTTCCTTTAGAGAAGTATTGGCTTTGTGGGTTTTTGTTTTTTGTTTTTTGTTTTTTTGCCTTTTGTTTTTCTTTGTCAAGCAACACGACAAAGGTAATAGGACCCTGGGAGATGCATCTTTATCTTGGAAACAGGGAAGATTTTCTGATTGTTGCTATAGTTCCTGGGGGGTAGGGGTAAGATATGTGTTTATATTTGGCAAAGGGATTGTACTCCTCTAGAGAGAAAAGGCCACAAAGAGCTGCAAGTCCACAGAGTTGGCCTCACACTAGGCTTCCATATGTTATGGTCTGGTGCTCCGCATTGCCCAATTCAATACCATTCATGTGGCGGGTAGTCTAGGTGCATGGTCTTGAACTCTGTAGACCAGTGTTTTTCAACCTTCCTAATGCTGCAACCCTTTAATACAGCTCCTTATGTTGTGGTGACCTCCAACCATAAAATTATTTTCATTGCTACTTCATAACTGTAATTTTGCTACTGTAATGAGTCATAATGTAAATATGTGATATGCAACTCTGGAAGAGGTTATGACCCACAGGTAGAAAACTGCTGCCATTCACACGGTCTGCAATCTAGATGATGCCTCTGGGTTTTGACAATATAGACCTGGGCAGGATTGAACAAGGCTAATGCTCTTGGAGTTGGGAGGCAGCGTCTTCATACTGCCAAAGTTAACCAGGCAGCTAGAAACAACCTCTTTACATAGTAGATAGAAAGATCATTTCTAACATGATCCAGGTCCTTTCTGTTTACAGACTGACAGAGAAGAGCAGAGATGCAAACTCTTGCTTGTCGTCTCGAAGCTGGGTAGTATTTGGAATGAGAGAGAAAGGAAAGGCCAGATGATACTCCCTGAGGAAGGCAGTGGGAATGACCTGGGTCCTCCAGGAACAAAAAAACAAAAGGGAGCACTTTCTTCAACTTTCACTTCCTTCTTACAAAGCAGACTGAAGACTAATGTTTGTAAGTCAATACTTACACATTTATTCACACAAAAATCAAATCTGTCCTCTTCAGGAATGAAGCGGTCAACAGTCTTAGCCAGATTAGAACAATCTAGAGCAATCAAGATTGCTTTGCATGTAAGAGCTTGTGCATGAGCGTGTGCATATGGCACAAAGGAATCTAATTCTTGTGGTAGGTGTGTTTAGGCAAAGCTGTGGAATGATTTGGCTTCCCATCAGATAGCCCTGCCTGGCACTAAGGTTCTTTAGGTTTTCTCTATCTCAAATTCCTAATTATAATTTGAGGAGCATTTGGAAATTGCCACACACAAGTGTTCAAACACACACACACACACACACACACACACACACACACACACATTGCTCTGAATCTGTCTTGTGCACAGAGTTCAACTGCCTTTCAGAGAGAATGGACATGGGACAGATAGGACAGAACCTAAGAGAGATCATTAAGACCTTGTCATGCATTCTTACCCAGGGGTGTTTCAGTAGGAGTCCGGGCAGATCAAGAAGCTTCACATGTCCAAACAGGAAGAGATGAACTCACACTTGTGTTTGACCCAGGCATTGCCTTGCCCTGCCATATCCTTGTAAGATGCTACCTTTGAATTTTGATGACTTATTTTGCATAGAAAAAGAAGATTAAAGAAAAGGTGTCATTTTTAATATCAATAGCATTGGAACAAAGGGCTTTATTTACGTGAACCTATGTTGCTCTTGATATCTACCATGGGGAATGATGTGATGTGGGTATTGATACATGGAGAAGTATCAATAACATTGAGAATAATCGAACTATAACTTCAGGGTTGTTTCCTCCATCAGAAAATTCAAATTTTATTTTTATCAGGTTTCTGCTAGCTAGCAGCTAAGTTTACAGAATGTGAATGATAACCACGAATGAAAGACAGTGACTTTTAAGAAAGCATATTGGACAGTGTTCCTAGATGATACTGAAGGGTCACACTGTCATTTCAGGGCTCTTCTTTCTAAATATTAAATCATCTTTCTTAACAGTCAATAACTAACCATACTTTTAAATTGCTTCCATTTCTCTGTGCCCAGTTCCTCTCTCTTCCCAGCCTACTTCAGTAAGAAAAATGCATATGACATTATGAACTCTTTATATTGCAAAGCAATCTAGACAGAATTATAAGGTGAGGGGAGAATTGGGTGTCCCTGAAACCCTAGGGTTGGAGGGCCCCCTGCAGCTTTCTGGGAACTGGGTTTGATGGCCACATGTCCTTCTGGCATGGTTCCTGAACCTCAAAGCCATAAATGGCCACTGGCAGACACACAGGCATTTCTATCCAACTTGCCTCACCCAACCTCATAACAAATGAGCTGACCTGTGATAGAGACCAGACCCACATCGGAAACAGCTGGCTACCAAGAATTTATCTGCTAAACTCCAAACAGGCAGGAACTGTCAGCCCTGGGAGACTTCAGTCCCTAATGAATCAATGAAACCTTAGCACAGAAACCTCTCGCGTGTGTATTCCATGTAACACAAGCACCCCAAATCAAGTGTTCCTGGCATCTAAGGTTGACAGCTTCCTGAAACAATGCCATCAGGTAAATTGTGACACTCTCCAGCTTTCTGACCACATGGAGATTTTCAAATGTGATAAACAGCCTTGGAGAAGCCAGCCTATGCTACACTGCACTACAAGTACGCTGCAATACAGTGGGTATTAAAATGAAGAGAGCTGGGTGTATTTCATTAAACTCCAATACCACAGTAAACCTCACTTTATTAAGACACCAATGCATTAAGTGGGATTTCCCGCCATATCTAGGGCCTGTGCTGGAAGTGTGGACCCCTAAACAGATGATATAGTGCATGACCCAGCACATCTGGAATGTCTAAGAGGCCAGTCCATAAAGCAGATAAATGTGGAGGCTTATCTCCAGGACAGGTTTTATGGAAAGCTTCCATTGTGTTCAGATGTAGTGATGGGGGAAGAGGCCAGGGCCCTCCCAGTCATGGACCATGAGCGAGTTTCAGCATTTGGATGAAAATCATATTGCCTAGTACTACTGACTTCTCCCTACCACCTCCACACTCATGGGGCCCTAGAGGGACCTTTTGTGCCTGACTGTGTATAGATGCACAGGAGGTTTGAATTAGTCATCCTCACATTAGAGAGTATGAATAATGATGATACCATTTGTGAGAAAAAATCTAAATACTAACATAACCCAATCCATACTGTGGAGGAGGGTGGCAATGGGGTTTATTACTGAAGGGTCAGTTTGTTTTCTTCTAAAAAGAGAAAAGAACATCTGACTAACAATTTCACTTCGCTTGAAACCAACGTTTCCTCAGAGCTGTTAATGATATGCACCCCAGAGTGTTCTCTGGAACATAACGACATCACTAAAGGGTCCGTGACCATAAAGAAGAAGGTGCCAGGCAGAGAATACTCTTGAACTTCTCCCCTAGTTTAGAAGATAGAGTAGATGTGGATGGACTTTCTTTCAAAGGCCCAGTTTACATTTCCAAAGTTCCAGCTGTCTCTCAGAGATCTGCCAGGGAGTGAGAAACTTCTAGAACCTTATGAAGTCTGCTTCTTCCTGTGTAAATCTGGAAATGCTCTTTTGTAAGGACAGTTTTCCCAATAGCTCCAGGCCTGAAAATGAAGTCAACCCATCCACACAGAGCACCTGGGTGACAATGATGGTGTCTCCTGGTGTTACCTTTGCCCTTTCTCTGGGAGTTGGTCAGGTGTCATAAAACACCAGGAATTTCCAAAGTTCACTCAGGCTGGGTGGAATGGTTCCCTTTAGTCATGGGCTCTTGACAGATGCTGCAACCAACACAGAACCCAGCCACAGTCAACAGCCCCCTTAGCGGGTACTTGTTACTATGCACCTAGCTGACAACTTTAGCGGGTTTACTGTGTGCCAAATGCTAGGCTTGAGCTGAGAAACCTGGAGAACGAATCCCCCTTCCTGATGTGAAGGAATCTCTAGTTTAGAGGGAGAAAAGTATACCTAAAAGGGGCCCAGAAGAGAGCATACAGTCATGGGAACATGGTGCCATGTGCCAGGGCCACCTGATCTAGCCTCAGGACACCAGAGGAAGTTTCCTGGAGGAGGTGACAACTTTCACAGATATGAAAGAAGGGTGGATACTGTGTGACTCTGACCAGGCAAACCAGGCTCTCCAAGCATTACGAGGATGCTTCTTTCTTGGGGGACAGCAAGACCCAAGGTGCTGGCAGCCCTGAGATCACACTCTTGTATTGCTCATGGTGGGAAGATGGTTTCAAGGGAAAGCATGTTGTGTGACTATGTGACTGTGTGTCTGTGTCTGTATACAGATGTGCCTAAAACAGCGTTTTTCAAGAGAAATCAGGCAAATTGATGGGATATTAATACTTCCTCTTGTACAGGTCCAAACAGAAAAAAAAAAGACCACCTTTCATTTCTTTTCCATGGGCTCATCTTTCAGTCCCAGAGGCCATCAGACTATCTTCACCGCCCTCAACACCACTCCAGTCTATTTTGGGTGCTTGATGGGAAGATAGGCAAAGCCAGAGCTTAGGGAGGGGACGTCACAGTGGAAAGTATTATGTGAAGGGCGAGAGAACATTTCCTGGAATTCTTCCTTCTCTCCATAAGCTATCCACTCTTGTTTATATCGCTAGCTTTTGGCCATCCTTAGGCCAGCCATGGGGGTTAAACGGTTGGATTTTCACCATCAGTGCTGACCTTGGGGGTGTTTTGGAGTTCATAAATGGACAGTTACTTTTGGGATTTACTCTGTATCTATAGGAGAGCTAGCCTGTCACAGGTTCCCATTGAGTCCCTGGCTGGTGTGTGTGTCTGCAGATGGTAGATCTTAAGGATGAATCTATTTGCAGCTGACAAAGTGGCTGTGGTTTCACTGTTGATATTCTTGTCAGTCAGACCCACAATCTAGCATTTTATTAGGACCCCCTTCAAGTCCACTAATAATTTTACGGTAATTTTTTTTAAAGAATTGCCTCCACTTTCCTGACTTTCCAGTTCCAGCAGGTCATGAGAAGGGAGTTATAAGGACTATGCTCTGCCTCATACGACATCTTTCTATTTCTGTGGACATGAAAAGCAATACAGTCTGGCCAGAAGAAGAGGTGACCAATAAAAACACTCTTCAAATCTTGCCACCAAGCTGCTCAGGACTAGAAACTTTAGTTCAGTATCTACCTACCTTGACTGGTCTACTAGGCAGGTCCCTTTGGGGGTTCTCATAACTTCACAGAGGGTCAGTGGGTCATAAGGGAGCAAGCTGCCAGAGGTCTCCTTTAACTGTGGTTGTCTCACTCTGTCCCCCCCAGGAGTGGCCGAGCTGATCTAGCAGCCATATACTATGAGCGCATTGATGTGGAAGGTCACCACTATGGCCCCTCATCGCCTCAGCGAAAAGATGCCCTCAGAGCTGTGGACAATGTGTTTCAGCACATGATCAAGTGGATCCAGGTGACCCAAAGCAAGGGCAACTGGTCTGGAATTTTCCCCCTGTCACCTCTTATCATCTCCATGACTGCCGCTCCTTCATACTTCCTTTAAAAGTTTCTTTACTAAGCCAGTGTAAGGCTCTCTTTTTTTCATGTAGTACTTTTTAGGGCACCAAGCAACTTCTTATTCCATGGATAGTCAGTGGGATTTAACTCATCCAGATGTGGTTTTTGCCTGGCTTGACTAGAGAGCTGGCCAGGTTTGTGGTAATATTAGTAAGTCTATTGACCAGTTTAACCTGGACATGGCGGTTAAATGTGGGTTCCAACTTTAACAGTCTCCATTCTCCTTTAATCAGTAGCTTAAAAACACGTCTTTACAAGAATGTTTGTGTGAAAGGATCTTTCTTCAATCACTGTGGTGACTGCTCATGTCCACCCCCGCAGGAACGTGGCCTGCAGGATGACCTAAACGTCATCATTTTCTCAGACCATGGCATGACTGACATCTTCTGGATGGATAAAGTGATTGAGCTAAGCAAGTACGTCAGCCTGGATGACCTGCAGCAGGTGAAGGACCGAGGGCCCGTTGTGAGCCTGTGGCCAGCCCCTGGAAAACACTCTGAGGCAAGACACACCGTGGTGGACGGGAGGTGACCTGGCCCCATTGGCCCCTCATTTATGCTTTGTCTTATTCCTAGAGTTTTCATAATGAACTATGTAACAGGATAGGCGCACAGACTTTGGGATCAGATGACTGAGCTTGCCATTCACTTACCAAGTGACCTTTATAAAGGTCATTCATTTTCTATGTTTGTTTGTTCTATACCAGTATCTACCTCCACTGAATTTAATGAAAATTAAAAGAGATAAACAATGCCTGGCTGTAGCAGGAATCTTAAAAGTTCTTATTGATAAAATCAAACCCGAGGTGAGTTATTGGGGTCCATGCTGGTAGATCAGAGAGATAGAACAAGCCACAGCTATCTCACCTTGCCAATTCCTCAGCTGGTCCTGTTTCCTCAGACTGGAAGCTTCTGTGTCCTCATCCCAATGGCTCTCAGCTGAACTGCTGCTTAAAAGCCTGAATGCTTATCCAGCCAAATCTTAACCAGCCAAAAGCCTCTAGTTTCTGGTCCTCACGCCTTATATATCTTTCTCCTTTCTACCACCACTCCCTGGGATTAAAGGCTGGGTTTCTGGGATTAAAGGCGTGTGTCACCATGCTTGGCTATTTCCAATGTGGCCTTGACTCACAGAGATCCAGAGGGATTTCTGTCTCTGGAATGCTAGGATTAAAGGCGTGTGCTATCACTGACTAACTAGTGGCTTGTCTGTTCTCTGACCCCAGATAAGTTTATTAAGGTACACGTGGGGCTCGAACCCACGACCCTGAGATTAAGAGTCTCATGCTCTACCGACTGAGCTAGCCGGGCCAAAGCTTCTCCCAAGCCTCCTAGGCTGGCCTCAAACTCGGGATCCTACTGCCTCTGTCTCCTTCAGCAAATCCTACCGGCGTGCGCCACCACCACCGGCTGAGTGTAGCTTGGGCCTGACCTGGGGCTCACAAGGCCACAGGCAAACAGCTTTTTCATGAATTCGTAACACGAACGTTGGGCGCCACCTGGCACATGTCAGCATGCCCTTATTAGGGCTCTTTTATTGTTGGACAGACTGTGTAGGGCGCTGCTAGAGGCGGGCTCTTCAGAATGAAGCTGCCACTCTGATCTGCATCTGATTCTTTTTCACCAAGGGGGCTGGAGATATAATAAAGCTGACTAAAGAAGACAGCCTAGGCCACATGTGTACCGTGGGTTTATCCCTGACTTTACGGTCACACCTCTTAGGTTCTGATCCCAGCTCTGTTATCAACTGTGTACAAGGGAATGGCAAATCTGGCCCTTCTGCCTTCCACATGGAAACCCGGCAATGAACACTATCCTAAATAAAACCCATGGGAGTACACAGAAGGCAGGCTGAGATCACAGCAGAGACTATATATGTGCCACTTAGGAAGACCATCATCAAACAGGAGGGTGCCTAAGAGGGTGTGGTCAACTTCCCACAGTGTGCAGATGAGGAACAAAACTCCCTTTCAGGAAGTCAGTAACCTATGTTTACCCTCTCAAAAAAAAATAATTAGGGATGGCAGTGGATGGTAAGGATAAGGAGGAATGAGTGCCACTCTTGGCCGACAACGGAGTGATCTTGTTGCTTCCTCACTTCCCAGTGCATGGATGCAGCATCTGTCCACTCCCAGGGGAGCTGATGTGGGCCAGGAAGCATCTATGTTTCTCAGTGGAGGGGACAACGCCAGCCACAGGGGAGCCAGGAGGAGCCTGGGAGCTGCCGCCTTCCTGCATCCTCATAGCTACAGAACAGTTGCCTGTGAACATTAGCCAGAGGGGCCTGGTGGAAGCGATGGTCCTTTGGCCCAGAGGCAGCCCTGCTACCACCTTGCTTGCCCTGATTTGAGGTCTCTTGTCAGTGATACCACTGCTCTCTCAGCCTTTCCCCATTCGCTAGGGAAATGCTCCCCCGCTCCCCGCCACCGCCATGTTTTTCCTTGAGCTCCGCAGCCAGGAAATGAAGTTTACACAGTGTCCCAGCAACTCCCTAAATATGAAAACGGAAAGAATATGTTACACGTTGGCAGGTTCTTGGGAAGCAACTTCCCTCTTCCTGGCAAGGAAGAGCATCTTTGTCTCCAATTTGGCACTTAGGCATGTGACACCTCCAGAATGCTTGGGCATCAACACTCACGAGCTGAGAAGAGCATCTTCCAGCAGGATGCGCATCCCAAACACTGCCGCCAGCCAATCGCAGTTGGTAATGGTTCAAAAGTGGAGGCTGTGTTTGGTGACAGCTGGGTCATGTGATGGTCACAACAATCTGCAGGACCTGTTGTATATCAGCAGATATTTCACATATTCGAAATAATTCTGCATACATCGTTTTTAATCAAATAGGGGAGGTTAATTCATGGAGCTATGAACAACTTTCTGCTCAGCAGCCCAACGAAGACTGTTTTTAGGGTGTGAGTGAATAAACACAATTTCATTATAAAGGAATACATTTCTGATTTGGTTGGTGGCCAGCAAACCAGCGTCAGCAGGTGGATTTTAATTTTAGCCACAAATATTTAAGTTTCTGCTAAATATTGGAAGTGTGTATAGACTTTACATCTTCATTATGGAATTGGCAATGTGGTTAGTAAACAATTCCTCCTGCTTTTAAGATTCATGTATGGGTAGGATATAATCTCGATGTCAACTTATAGAGCACATATCTTTTCTCTGATTTTGGTGGTATTTAACATCAGCCGGCCACTTTCACAACTGCCACTTAATTTTAGTGCATAGAATTTTGACAAATGAGTTTTGTAATGTGTTCACCAGTCACTGATTATTTATGAAAGAATATATATGTATGTATATATATATATATATATATATATATATATATATATATATATACACACACACACACATATATATATATATAAGTGTGTAAGCAGTATAGGAGTATAGGATAATGTTGCCATGGTCACCTCATCTTTGAGAGAAGTAGCATGCTGACATGACCTATGACATTTCCTGAAAGTCCTTCCTGATCCCATGAGTGTTTTACCCTCTCAGAAAAACCACTAAGATATAACCATTTATCATAAGGTTGTGTGGTTACTTGAGTTTTATGTCATAAGAATCTCTGTGGTATTTTCTACAATTTACATTATTTTTGCTCCGGCTGAGATCCCTGAGTCTTCTGTGCGTCTTTGCAGATGTGGTGCATCTGTCTTTACTGTTCTTTATGGTGTCTGCCCCAGAACTGCACCAGCATCTCTTTATCTCTCCCCATTATCTCTTTGCTCTATCTCTTCTGCTATGTGTCTGGGTTATTCTGTGTATACACTATATATAGGTGCACACACATGAGAGCTTTTCATTATATTCCCTAGAGGGGAATTCCCTTCAGCCTCTCTAGATAAAGCCAGATTCATTTGCAAGCTATACGAAAGTCTCTCGTTGCAAGACGTGGTAGCACACACCTTTAATCCCAGCACTGGGGAGGCAAAGGCAGGCTGAGCTCTGTGAGTTCAAGGCCAGTCTGGTCTACATAGTGAGTTCCAGGCCAGCTAAGGCTACTTAGTAAGTCTTCTCAAGAAAAAAAAAGTATCTTATTTTAATGTAGCTAAATTCTCTCTCTCTTATATACATACATATATGTATACACACACACATAGATAAATATCCCATCTCACAGATGTAACACGAGTGTTCAAACAGCTCATTCTTGGTTTTCTTTGCAGATATATCACAAACTCAGCACAGTGGAACACATGAGTGTGTACGAGAAAGAAGCGATACCCAGCAGGTTCTACTACAAGAAAGGGAAATTCGTGTCTCCTTTGACTTTGGTGGCCGACGAAGGGTGGTTCATAACGGAGGTAATTATAAAATCGGTGCCCTTCTCCTCATTGTTCAAATTCTATCCACAGCCCACGGGTAAGTAACAGTTATTGAGATCTTTTCACTAGGAGTCCTTTGCGGCACGGCTTCCTTGTTTAGAAAATCAAAAGGCTGGACCAGACGTCTAGGAGAACACAGGCTTCGACGAACCCAGAGTCGAGATTTAGACTTCATGGCTGCTCCACATACTCTGTATTGTAATCAATTGGCCTGAACTCAGTTCCTCAAGCTTCCACACAACCTGTTTAGCTTAAAGCAGGACAATTACTGTGATCTGAAGCCCTTGCTCCAGGGCAGTGGAAAGCCCTGTGTTGGTTCCATCTTGAGAGAAATGTTTAGGAAACAACTGCAGGGACCCAGGCCCCCAAATTACCAGCTGGTTTTTATAGCAGAGATTATCCTTCCCTTTGGGCCCAAGCCCTAATGTGCCTCAGGCCTGCCTGCCTTCCTCCTCCTTGTCGTCCTGGGCTCCAGGCTCAGCAGAATCCATGTGTGATACTTAGGAACGTCCTCCCTTCCAGAGGCATCTATGGTCACACTGAGAATCCAGTCCCTTCTGGAAGGGAGCATTCCTTCAGACATGCGTTCCAAGGTGGGCTGTGCTTCGCTGGAACAGCAAGGTTAAAGGTTAAGTAGTAGGTGGCTGAAGCAGTGATGCCTAGGACTCCGGGTAAATAATATGCTAGAGGGAAGCGGTTCCTCATCAGTGGAAATGGGCATCTGGGCGAGTGAGCGGGTGACCCACAAGCAGGCCATGAAGTGAAAAGGCTCTGGGACAAGAACGTCAGCTATTGGGCAAGGCTGCCTTATTCCTGGGTGTTCACAGAGAGAAACGTCTGGTCACCGTGAACCGAAAACAAGGCAGATCTGGTTGAAACCACGGGCAACAGAAGGCAGAGGCCGGTCAGGCTCTGCTGAAACCGAATCCCCCGTCCTCCGCCATGCCATTTAGAGTCTCTAAGGTGGACGCAGAGAGAGGAGAAGGACAAGTTCCAGGCCAGCCTGGGCTCCACAGGAAACCTTCAAAAATACCTAGAGACAGAAAGGATTTCAAGAGACGCCTTCTAACACCACCGCTTCCGGGAACTAAAATGTAACTCTTTAGTTTGTCCTCCCGTTTGGGGTTCACATGGACTGAGAGAGAATATTTTAAGCTATGACTGATATGATTTATGCACACATGGGAAACCCCTAGCTGGCCAGGCCAGGGTATCCCACACGTGCAGGGGACCAGGCTGGGCAGATGCTGGCGGGCATGGGGTGGACATTCACAATGCAGATGCTACCTCTGCGTGGAGAGTTTATTATAATAGAAAGATAGAGGCAGACAGACAGAAAGCGGGGAGAGAAGGGGGTGCCCACCTTGTGGAAAGAAAAGCAGAAGGAAGGGGCAGAAGTTTTTCCTTCTACATCAGGACGCAGGGTGGCCCCAAGGGGCAGGTCAGAATATTAACAATAACCTTGCCATGTATTATTCTCATCCTCTCTCTCTCTCTCTCTCTCTCTCTC